ACATTTTTAATGAAAACAATTCTTTTACGTGTTATTTACATAGAAAATTCAAATGCCGACCGACAACTTTTAAAATTGAAATAAAAATGTTTCCAAATGGGAGAATTTCCTTTTCAGTAAATAGGTCATTTTAAGGCCATAAATTCGTCAGGTTGGTTGTTTTAATAATAACAATAATAGATTGACGCTTACACATATGTTAGTGTTTGGCCGAGCTTCTCCTCGGACTTGTGGCGTGCGTCTTGATGTTGTCGCACCTACAGTTTTACGCCGACTCCGAACAGCGATTGTATTTTTATGAGAAGCTGTTTTTCATGGCAGAAATACACTCGGAGGTTTGCCATTGCCTGCCGAGTGACGACTGCTGTTAAGAAAAAAACCTTTTTCAATATTTTTTTTTGCGATGTTGCTTTGACCAGGGCTTGAACCCAGGTGCTGATGAGGGAAAGCGCGCACTGCTTACCACTACACCTCAGCGGCCAAAATAACAGCGGTTAGTTATTTTGGATCACCTTAATATATATATACAAGAATTACTCCTTTACAGTGATAAGAATAAGTGGCAAATTTCCCGGAAAAAACCCCCGAAAAAAGTCTGGATCCGCCGCTGGGCCTGTGGTATTTTTGATTATGTACTTGGATGTAAAATAACACATTTTCTTAAAAATTTTAAGCTTATTTGCGCTCCAACGTAACGAACGTACTTGTTTAAGCCATCTTACAAATGCTTTATCAAGATAAAAAATTCCCACGCAAAAATATTGCCACTGATAATACTTACACATATCTGGCAAATACAATGACATGTGGTAGGCAATAATTTTCCCTGTGAAGAGGCGTCGTTAGCTAGTTTTCAGTGTTGTAAAAGGCCGTTCGCACCAGGCGATTTCGCGTTCAACTCACACACGGTTACACGAAAATCAAATTGAATGGCTAAAAATAACAAAATATGCAAAAATTCACCATAAAAGGCGTTTGCATTGTTCAACTTTGCATTCTACTTTTGGTTGAACGGCCTTTCAACTAATCGCTTTCAACAAAGTTGGTCGCCAGCCAAAATTTAGCCATTCTACTTTTTTTTCGTGCAACCCTGCGAGAGTTGAACGCAAAATCGCCTCGTGCGAACGCCTTTTGAAGGGTAATACGGCTTACCCTACAACAAAGGGAATAACTTTGTTCGATCCTCCAATTACTCACCCCTTTCCCACGCGCACATTCTTAATTCAATTTGACAGTTCTCTATCTCTGTTTTGTTTATTTTGCTTCGCTAAAAAATTTGTGCAAAATTTAAGTAATTGCTTTGCGTACTTTTAAAAAGTGCCAGTTTTCATTTGTGAACTGGTTTCGATAAATGTCCGATAAAAATTAGAGACGGCAGCGATTTGTTCGTAATTCGCATGGTAATTGGATCTGAATTACCAACAAAATTTAGTATGGCGGATTACGTAATTCCAAGGGTAATTGGAGTGCGAATTACGAATGACAGAGCAAACTACGTAATTCGCGTGCAGTGGGAAAGCCGTATTAGATATTATTTTTTAAGGCTAAAAGGCGTTCAACTTTCAAAGGCGGTTAGTTGAATCAAAAGCTTACATCATTTAACTGAATGTTGAACAATGTAAACTCCTTTTAAATACAATGATTATGTACGATTATGAAATAATAATATTCTGAACGAAATTTTTGGCAAATTTCATCACTGCTATAAAACTTGAGACGGAGGACAAGGAGGACATTTTTGCTCAAAAGAAGGACAATATTTTTGAGGAGGACAACTCACGTTTGAGGATGACAATCCTCCTCAAAGGAGGACGGTTGGTCAGCTTAATATGTCTATTTATTTCTTACAGCGAAATCGATAAAACGTATGCGAAAATAACTCAACAAGAAAGTAAAATATTTTTTCTTCTCATCTGAGCAATTTTATTTTCTGGATTTTTAACATATCTTTTTCGACTACAGATATTCATCCGGAAAAAAATAAAAAAAAAATCAATTTGAAACTCAATTGGCTTAAAATAACATATTAATTGCGCAAATTTTCCCAATGAAAAATAGAAAATTCCGGACGAATAATTAATCAATAATAATCCGGATATTCCGGTACAATAAGAAATAAGTATTCGTCCGGAAGTTCCGGATGATTAGGGACAGCCTTTTCGAAAACGGTCAACTCGATTTTTTCCAGAAAAACGAAAGCTACAATTTTTTTCTTCCACAACAAGAAAGCTACAATTAAGGGCATAGTAAAATAGTGGATATCTCAATTCTATCGACCAGGTGTATGCTATCAAGTTAGCACTACTTACCATTTTTTTCTTAAAAAAACGAAAACTTCAAAATTTACAACAAAAAAGCTACAATTAATGCCGTTGCAACATTTTCAATATCTCAATTCTATAGAGTAGGTGTATGGTGTCAAGTTAGCACTACATACCATATTTAAAAAAAATTAGAGCTACACATTTTTTTTTCACAACAAAAAAGCTACAGTTAATGTGAAGTGGTAATGGGGCGGTTAAACGTGGCAACACAAGCACTTTTTCTACGCATTTTGCTGTCAGTATGCCAAAGAGGAAGCCCACTGCAACTGAAATTACGCAAATCGCTTTCGAGGAATTATTTACTCTTGCTCGCGCTGCACGAGCAATTTTCATTTTTGCAGCAAGTATTGTCGAACCGATCGAGGGTTGCCGTGCGATTTTTGCCGAATTGGTATAAGATTTTAAAAATATTGCATCACTTTAAAAGCACAAACTGGTAATTAATGTAGTTTTTATAACAAATATTTCAGGTCAGTAATATTCTTATAAGCGTAAAAATGTCTGGTAACACAGGTGAAAGTGGAATTTACCATGATAAAAGCATAGTAAGGTAAAACCGTTCTCTCAATGCGTCGGCCATGATTTTTTTTTTGAAGTTTGCCAACATTTTAAAATCGTATAAAATTGGGAGTAAAAAGAGGAATTGTTCAAAGTTGTTGTTGTTTGAGATTGAAAATAAGAATGTGAGTGTAAAATTTTAAAATTAAATTGCTTGCAAACGTCAAGAATTTGAAAAATTCCCCTCAGCGGTTCTACCTTCCTATTTTGACATATAGTTCGTTCTTTAACAAAACCCGTTCAAATTCATGTTTCCAAATTTGAGCAGTCCACTTGCAAAGGCGCTATGTAAAAAACTTGTATTTATACGAATGTTGGTAAAGAACGAACTATAAAATTCTAACCGAAATTAAATAACAACAAAAATAATATTTTAAAACTTGTCAAAATTTGGTGCGGCTATAACTTTTCGACTACTGTACATAAGTTGGCTATGATTACTCGGCCGTGATATCATAGTAGCACAATGCCACTCATATTTGACTTACAAACAAGCTACGGGCAGAAATTTCAAGATTTCAACCCTGTTTTTATGAAAAAATTTTATTTTTATCAGTATTTCTCTTTTAATCAAAATATGTTGAAATAAAAGTGAAACTAAAAAAAAATTTGCCAGAAGTAGTAAAATGTCACACTAGTCATATATTAAAATTACATTCCTGTCAATGTATGTATTATATCATAAGTATAATTGTGGTTTGTTCATTTTTGCTAACACAATCCAAATTTCGCTCGGAAACTCACGTTGTTGTTGTTGTTGTAGCGGCTACAACAACCCCGCCCAGATCGGTTGGTATCTCAGTCGTTGTCGTCAAGTTCCACTAACGGCAACCCTAGGAAGCGTGCAGCTTCTGTGGGGTTTGTCCACAGGGACAAGGCCGTTAGGGTTGTCGGGTTTTCCGGGCATGCGAAGAGATGTTTCGAGTCATGTGGGGTCTCTCCGCATGCCGGACACTCATTCGGCACATCCTCATTCAACCTACTCAAGTAGGAGTTCAACCTGCTGCAGTAGCCGGAGCGAAGTTGTGCGAGTGTTGTGCGTGTCTCCCGAGGCAGATGAAGCTCCGTCTCGTCTATGTCCGCGGGTGGTATGCCTAGAACGGCATTCACAGGTCTAGAGTCTACATAACTCACTCAACAGTTACGCTGGCATTTCATCAACCAAGCTGTATACGTTTAAACGCACTATAAGTTTGTCAATCGTCTTAAAAAAGACGTCAACACATGAGCAACCTGGTGTCGTAGGGAGTTAGCTGAAAAACTCCCGACCACTTAAGGAGCCATCGCTTCTACAACCCAAAAAAAGAAGCCTCGCGCATACGTGGCCGGGTAGTAATAAATAACTATAAAAACCATAAAAAGAATTGATACAAGAATGAGAGTGCAATACAGCGAGAGTAGAAAATAAGGATTCTGGCTATGTTTATGGTTCCCTTACATCCTATGTACTGCAATGTTTGTACGAAAAATTGTTTTTGGGCCAGATTACAGGACGACTCTTTTAAATTAATAAAAAAAAACTGAAAATCGGTATTTATAGCCCATTTCTGTATCGGTGTCAAAATATTTTTTACTGGCAAATTTCATATATATTTCCGTAATAAAAACTGTGACAAGAATTTGTCAGTGATACAGAACAGAGCAGTTAATCGGTACAAATATGAAAAATTGGGACACTTATACGTCCCGACTTTTAAAAAAATATTCAGCGAAACAATTTTCTCAAAATCGGTGCAAACGGTCACCATATTCACACATCATTTTTTTGTACCATTAACAGATACGTAGAATTTTGAAAAAACGTCAGTCATCTTCGATACGAGTTCCATTTTGGGAACGTCGGGACGGGAACTTTTAATCGTTATACACTTACCATATAACATTTGTGGAAAATATTTGTGTAGGGTTCAAAAAGGTATTGACGATGCATTTGTGTTAATTCAGAGCCTACTATAGTTTTTATGATAAAGAAAGTGTCTTCAAACGTAACGCAGGGAACAACCATATGAAAACATGTAATTTTAGTTTCACAAAACACGTGTTTATTTTTTCTTTCTAAGTTTGAACCAATGGTGTTATAATTTCTAACTTCTTCAACGTTTTTTTTTCTTTTTACAGTTTCCAACAAGCCGCCATACGTTATCACCGAATCTGGTTACGCCGGTTTCTTGGTGCCGATAGATATATATTTTCGTAACCGCGATGAGCCAAAGCGTATACAATTTACTTACGATTTAGATTTGCAGCAAACTGGTCCACCACATCATCGGTTCGAGGTGCAAAAGTTTGTTTTCGACCATGTTTCGGAGGATTTTCGACAAAAGCTGCTCAAAGGAGGCGGCATACCAGTGACTGGTGCAGGCGTAGTTGGCGGTGGCGCCGTACCCCCGACCAATACCACGCCGAATGCTGCTATCAGTGATGAAGGTGGTGGTATGATTAGCAAACCAAAACTGAGTAGCGGCGAAGCAGTCGGTGGTAGCGGCGGTAAAAAACACAAAACTCGCGTTGATGATTCCAAGAGTAATTCGTTTGCTAATCTCTTTGGTACACCAATAAAAAGCGGCTCTAGCAAACATTCGCCAGATGCTAAGAATAACAGTCTGAATGTCGGAGGCGGCAAAGGGGTACCTCACGCAAGCAGCGCAAGCGGTGGTGGCGGTGGTGGGGTAACACCTAACTCTGGCAGTAGCAATGCGAACAACGCTAGTGCCAAGGAGAAGTCCATTAAAGAACGTGACAAGATGAGCAGCTCGTCAACGGCTTCCGCCGGTAGTAGCGAGAAGCCACGTGAAAAGTCTGAAAAGAAAGAAAAGCATAAGTCGTCATCTAGCCCACACAAAGAGCCGCGTGGTGAGAGCAAGAAATCATCCGGCGAGAGTAGCAAACATGAAAAGCGCGAAGAATCGAAGTCGAAGAAGGATAAGTCACGAGAAAAAGAACGTGAACGCAGCCGAGAGAAAGCTGGCACCAAACGATCGCTAAGCCCGAAAGCAAGTACGCGTGACGTTAGTGCCCCAAGCCCGAAACGACCGACTCCACCCCGATCTTCGTCGTCTGCAAGCGGGCGTGTGGAGGACGTAAAGCCAACGAATAGTAGCAATAAAACGGAGGTTAAGGAATCTAAGTCCCGCGAAGATAAATCTAGCTCAAGCGGCAAGAAATCTAAGAAAGAAAAGAAAGACAAGGATAAGGACAAAGAACGCGACAAGGAGCGTCGTGACGAGCACAAAGAAAAGCATCGAAGTGTTGAAGGGAAATCAAAAGATTCAAAGGAAGAACGTCATGGCGTTGCGGCCAACGTTGGCCCTAGTGGAGATGCCAGCAATGTAGCGCCTTCAACGGCATCTAATGGGAACGCTGTAGTAGCGGAAGCTAAAGATCTCAAAGGCAAGCAATCTCCCGCGAATGTGAACGCCAAGAAGGCAGACAAAGATGGCAAAGATAAGGCGGAAGCAGCCAAGTTAAAGAACAATGATAAGACTGTCGATAAAACCGCGCCGATTGTTTCGGCAAACGGTGCAAATACTCAGGCAGCTACTGCACCGGCTGGCAGTGGGGATAAGAAACCAACCGGCATTTCAAGCACCCAAGGCAAAAAGGTAGAGAAAGAGAATGACAAAGAAAAAGAAAAGGAAAAGGAGAAAGAAAAAGAAAAGAAGTCGCATAAGCACAAGAAAAAGGACAAGAACAAAGACAAAGATAAAGAACGAGATAAAGAGCGTGACAAAGAGAGACACAAGGAAAAAGACAAAGAAAAAGACAAGGAAAAGGAAAAGGAAAAGGATAAAGAAAAAGAAAAAGAAAAGGAAAAAGAAAAGGAAAAGGAAAAAGATAAAGATAAGGAAAAGGATAAGGAAAAGGATAAAGATAAGGATAAGGAAAAGGATAAGGATAAGGAAAAAGAGAAAGAGCGTGTGGATGAGAAGATACGCCCGGAAAAGACCCGGGAATCTAATGCGAATGTAAATGTAACGACAACCGCAGTCACCGTAGCTCCCGCTGCTACAGCGATTACAACCGAAACACCAGCACCACTTGAACCGCCCAAGAATGAACCGAGTAATGCAAACCCCGCCCTTAACGCTGCCAGCAGTGTGGCAACCACAAACAGCAGCAGCACTGCCACAGCGGCCGCTGCACCAACAAAGAAGTCACAAAGTAAAGAAAAGAAGTCCAAAGAGAAAGCATCCAAAGAAGAAAAGCGCAATGCAGCCGAGGAAGGCGAAGTGGTGGAGGTCCGAAGAAGCACTAAAAATGCTGCTAAAAGTGCTAACGCCGCCGCATCAGTAACATCATTGGCAAGTACCCCTACTGTCCCATTAATGAGCACCAATACCGCTACCAACAGCAACACCAATAATGATATGGGCGACGGCGCCAAAGCACATTCCCCAGAGGAAACCCCACTGCCGACGATAACCGCGGAGAAAGCTGCAGGAACTGGCGCTTCAAAGACGACCTCTTCTACTGACCCTGCACCCGCCGCTTTGCAATCGGATAGCTCGAATAGCAGTTTTCTGGATATACCACCAAAGCCGGTGGCAACCACAAAGCCGACATCATCGCCCACCACCAAAGCGGAGGTGACACCAGCAGAAAAGCCCGAGAAGTTGGCAGCCGCCAGCATCAAAGAGTACAAGCAGCGTGGCAGCGAACGTAATGCAAAGACGAAAGATGGCGCCGACAAACAAGATAAAAAGATAGAAAAAGGAGAAAAGAAACGTCGACGAAGCTCTGTGGCAGCTGCCACCGTATCAGTAAACACGTTCATAGAACCTCCAATCAAGCAAGCCAAAAAGGAGGCTAACAAAGCGGCACGAGATCAAGCGAAGTCGCCTGCACTGCGACACAGCCGAGCCGCTAGTATAAGCGGCCCACTCCTCGGCATCAATAACAGCAGCAGCAGCGGCATTAACTCGAATAACATCGGCAATGGCAACAACAGCAACAATGCGCCCTCGCAAAACAATAGCAGTTCTGCTTCTACTGAGGCACTCAATAGTGGCGGGGCATTTTTGCCGCCTCCTAATAACTCGACTGGCACCAGTGTAACTAGCTCGCCAGCCCCTCCAGCCACCGCTACCACCGCCAATGCCAACGTCAGCAACACCAGCTCAAATGTTGCCGCAACTGCGAGCGTTTCGACAGCTGCTGCAGCAGCGGCAGCGCCGCTGGCACCGCCTCACCCACTGCGACCCGCATCACCGGCTGCGCCTGTCGGTGCGGCGGCCGCAGAGGCTGCAAGCGCCAACAGCGGTGCAACGCCCACGCCTGCATTACCAACTGAATATTTAAGCGAATTGCAGGAACTACATCACAAAATAATGACGCTACAAGATAATGACGAGTTGCAACAGGTGGTCGAGATGATTGCGGCAACCGGCTGTTACGAGATTACGGCCAAAACGTTTGATTTCGATCTATGCAAGCTGGATCGCAGCACTGTGCAGCGACTGCAAGAGTTCTTTGCGACATCTGTGTCGTGACACAAAATACATGCCTAAAATGGAGAAGTGCCTCGCAGTGGTGGCGGCTGGAAACGGAGCCAGAGCGGTAGACGTGGCGAAAGGAGTGCCGACAAAGCAGCTCGTCTGTCTGCTATTCAAGCCAACAATTACCAGCTAGCAAAAATTAAGAACAAGAAAGACAAAAAACAAAAGCCGGAGAGTACAGTGTAGAGCGAATAAGCGGGTGATGTTCAGACGGTGAACTTGAAGATAATATAGTAGTAAATAGTAAGAGGCTTTATTAAAAGCGATTGGAAAATGATTAAATAATTGCTAAGCGATAGTAAAAACGCTTACTTTTTTAGCACTAGCTCATATGACACACCTACATGCGCACACACATCACACAAGACACATTTGTAAAGATGCGTTGGATGCAAACGAAAATATTATTCATAAATACTGACCTGATGATTGCGTTTTTTCAATTCTAGGTTGATAACTGATAGTTATCAATGAAATTAACAAAATAATACTGTGAATAACAAGAAGGTCGCTAAATATCAAGAGAAAATTGATAGTTATCAACCTTGTGGTTATTCACATTTTGTCAATCTGATTGGTAACAATCAACTTTAAACCGAGAAAGGATAATCGCGATAGGGGCCATCGCATTATGAACTCATTTGTACTCAAAATTCTGCGAGAAATACTTATACCACTTGCAAAGAATGAGAAGCTGTTCATATGATAATTGTTAGGAAAGTTATACAGTTTAATTTTAGTAAAGCAAATGAAGCTTACTTTCAGTAATTAGACTCCTTTATAGTTTAATGAGAAAAATGTATGTTATTCCTTTATTTTAATGTTATGGTCTTTTTCGTTTTTGTTTATACTAACAGTAATATGTTTTTAACATCAAGTATCCAAACTGTTTTCTTTACCTCAAAAAAAATTAAACTAAAAGATAGGCAAAGTCTATACCAATATATATTTTTTTTTTATGGTACATATATTGAGCTCTAGTAATGAACAATGAATTCATTCGGCCTAATCGCAAATTTCATTTGAACAAATGTTCCTAAAGATTTTAAAGCAAAATAAGTAAAAGCTATTTTTCCATTTTTTTTTTTGTTTTGCCTGTTAAATTATGGGAACGATTTATTTACATAGAATTGGCGATCAGGCTGATTATTTCTCCTTTGACGACGATGATTACACTGCAGAAATAAGCTTTGTCTTCATTACTTGCCAGTCAATGTGCAGTAAAATTCTCAATTCGCATCAACTTACACACATACAGCTGATAGTGCATATATGTACGTGTGTATGTATATGTATACATTTAATAAAACAGATTGCATACTAAACTTTCATTTTGTTCATCACTTGGACATTTGAGAAGACATCTAAGCATTTGAATATCATAAATACTGATCTGATGATCCATAGTACACAGATTCCCAAGTAACTCATCGATTTTTTTAATTTTAATTCATTAAGTTAATTATAGGTTTTAGTTTTCATTACACTAAGAATACTAATGAAGAACTTAGTAAACATCGCACAAGTGTGTATTAAATATAACACTTCCATATACATATATGCATATATTGCTGTACCTACAAAAAATACTACAGGAATGTTGTATTAGTATGTATGTTGTAGTTTAAGACTAGTTTTAATAAAGTTTTTTTCTCTCTCTAGAATCTAATTCTTATGTTTTTCAATTTGAACTTTAAAAGCACTTTAGAAAATTGCTAAATAGATTTTGTTATGTGAATTGTTTGAAATAATTTAATTGTGAAACTACTATATTCCTTTTCTTTAGTTGAATGTAAACCACATTGTATGAAATATGCTAGATCAGCTAATTTCTGTTTGGAACAATAAAAGAGGTATTTATAATATATAGGAAAAGAAATATATGTCTATGTGACGGGGAATGTTAAAAAGGACACCTACGGGTAGAAAAAATTCTACATATCTTTACTTTTTACCAATTCTTACAGTAAATTTTACGTCCTTTAAATGCAATAAACCACAGCTTTAGTTTTTTCTCACAAATTCAAAGGTGGACGCATTGGAAAAACGTAACTTCAACTTCCTTTTTATCGAAAACTTATCGAACCGAAGGTCCCTTTTAACTTTCTCAGTCACATATGTATTCTAGCACACAGTGTAATACAGCGAACCCGATACCCACGCCATTTTTTTTTTAAGACAACTGATACGAGAAAGTAAATGTTAATATTTTCTTATTAACCCAATCGGCAAAATTAAATTTTTAGGAGCCCTTATTTCCAATCTACTGAAGCGATATGTCCTCCGTGCTAGATTATTTCGTTACCTTAATATAAAAAGGCCCTATATCGCGTTGTCGCTGAAATGCAAAAAAGCCATAACTATCTTAAATTTGTTATTGCATAAAACGATGTGGGGACGTATTATTTGATGAAATGCGTCATATTCAATCAAAAAGTGAATTTTGGATTTTTGTTAGTTACGGTTTTTGTATTTCAGCGTCAATGGGAGATAGGGCCTTTCTATATTAAGGTAACGAAATAATCTAGCACGGAGGACATATTTACTCCTCTTTAGTTTGTATGAAATTGCCAGAGTTTCAAGGCCATCTGGTTCAGCTCCCCTTAAAAGGGGAAAATTTACAAGAAGTAATAATGATACAGTTCAAGTATATCTTTTCACTAGATACGTCTTCTTATTTTTTTCTTTTAATTGAATTCCGTTGCCTTGGAAATACACCTTTTCGTCTGTCGTCGTATTGCAGAGCTGTTCAATGATTTTATATTGCAACTTTCACGTTTTATTGGAAAAGCCCTGTCTTAGAGCGTTTATTTAGAAACGCTCCATATTTTGCCGACTGGGAACTCTTGAGTAACAACATTGTCACACAATTTATGTATACATAAGTAAATCGTCGTTCGGAACAACTTTAAAACTTCTTTGGTATATCTAACAAATATTCTTTATATTTTTACCCCTTAAGTATACGGAGTTAATATAATGTTGTTATTAATATTGCTTTGTTTATTGTATAACAATTCATACGAAATATTTAAAACTGGGCCCTAACAACTAGGTGGATCAGAGTAATATAATAAATAGTAATATACATATTATGTATGTTTAAGTTATCAATACTTTTGTTTAAATTAAATAATTAAGTCACTTTTTTCAACTTTCTTACATTGTTGTTACTTCAAAATAACTATTGCTCAGATATTTGATCCAAAAATGTTCTCTACATCTAAAAAGAGGTTTTTGATTGCATTTCTTAGGATGATGTGGCTAAACTTTACGTAGACTTAAAATTTATTTTTATTAATTTTATTATTTTGGCCCTAAGTTCGTTCATATACATATGTACATATATATGCACTTATGTATGTAAATATGAGCCGTTTATTTTGAAAGTGGCATAAGTCACTTCAAAGCTCTTGCGCTTAAATGACTGGTTATTCTAATCGTTGGTTTGTGTATTTGGAAAATTATAAAATAAATTTCTTCCATATATTCTCCGATTTCACAATCCGCTTTCATCGCAAGGGTTCAAGATACAATCCCTACGGTTCAACAAACCCTAAACGGAATACAGTGTTTATACACAAGGTGGTGGTTTCTTATGAAGATTTCTATTCGCTCGCGGTCCCGCTGCATGAAGCGTTATTGTGTATGCAATACCCCACGGAGCTACAAATATTGTTTTAAGCCTTTCTAATTTTCGTAATTGGCCTCCAGTAAAAAATTCTACTTAACATGTGTATATATGTATGTACCAAATAAGTTTCCCTAGAAAAAGTTTCATTGAAATGCATGTTTTAGATTTGGTAACAAATTTTGCCCACGACCAACGTTGAAAAGTATAACCACAAGTTGTACATTTTAAAAAGAATAAATTCTCATCCGTGGTTGCAGTTTTGGTACCACAACACGTTTCTTGGGAACCAATTTAATGAGTGATAGTTTCTTGGAGGGAATGGCATCCCAGTTGCCTAACTCCATTTCCTCGAGTGTGACACGAAAAGTCCGGACTTTTTGTTTTCTTCTTCAATTTCGTATCGTTTTTATGTATGTACGTTTTCTCAAACTTATTGTGTACGGAGTAGAATTTTTTACATAAAAAGGACTAGATTGTCATTTATTCATATCTGATTCGCTGTATTACACCGTTGTCTAGCATATGTATATGTACATACATACTTATACCCATTAGTGTGGGCCGAAATTCCGCTTTTTTAGAATTTTGATTGAAATTTTGAAATTGAAAATTTTTCTAGGCTTACTTCGATTCTCCTCAAAAAAGGTCCATATACCGAATCATGTACGACGAACACTTTCGAAGATAATTGCAATTTCAGTAAAGAAATTTAATGTATTTACTAATTTTTATTTTTTAAGCACATTGTACTTTGATGGATTTGGGTGAGCCTAAGATATTGATCAAAAATTGTCATCTTTCACATAAATTGTTTTTAGAGCATAATGAACCATATTTTTGCTATTACCAATAAAAATTCTTAAAAAGCGGATTTTCGGCCAACCCTAATACCCATGCATATGTACATACATATGTATAACATTGAAGCTCATTAGTGAATTCGTTTTAGGAATTATTTCTACTACACTTAAATGTTTGGAGTATTTTAATTTTGTTTTTTTTTTTTTTAACCAATATTTAACGGCCCAACTGCAATACAAGTAAGCACCAGAAGAATGGTATTTTATTCTATTTTGATGATCACGCACAAATAAATGAACAAAAAAAAAGCTTTCGAATGCAGAGTTTCTTTTTTTACGTTTTTTTATTGTACATGTACTAAAATAGAAAATTTTAATAATTGAACTTATATTGTTAAAATATTAATGATGTACATATATGGTGTCTACTTGTTAAACATATTTTTATGTGGTTTCTTTTTTTTTGGCATTGAGTATTTAGAACCAAAACTTTGCGGTAGTCCTAATTTTAATTTTAAATACTTATTATCTTAGTCCCTGCTGATTATTTCGAACTCAAAATGAATTAATTAAGCTTTTAGCGAAACTGGTATTTTAATTTTTGAAAACAAGTAGACAATCTGAGTTATAGTATATGTATGTAAAAATATGAAGCTAAAACCACTCACAGGAATTATAAAATTACTTTATATTACCGAAAATGTTGGTTTTTGTCATAATATTAAAATTTAAAATAATTAATCGAATAATCTGCAGCAATAGTAAAAGTAAAATCTACTTTAAAAAATAAAACCAAAGAACAAACGGAAAGGCATTCAGCAATAAGAATAATAAATCAAACTATTTCCTTTATACTTAATAATAAAATATTAAAATTTATCTCTTCAAAATATTAACAAAAAATATTGTAAAAGCAGAAGAACAAAGCGAACAAATGTATGTACATACATATGCACATAGGCGTTTATATAAGTATACAAACATGTGTATAACTTTTTTTATTTCTCTCAATTTTTCCCCTTTCAAAGTGCGTTAAAATTCAAAACAAACTGTTATCTTACTTCAAAATTAATACATACATACAAATATGCATTAATATGCCTCACAAAAAAGGAAGATATTTTCCTTAGCGAGTCGTAAAATTGGGTATTTTTATGGCTTTCCACAATATTTTGTCTCAATTCTGTGCTATTTGTCCCACTAGTTTTCACAACAGGAAAGGTACTCACCCTTTAAAACACACACACACACACACATACATCCCAGTAAGCAATTGTAATAGAAAAAAACATTGGTACTTTTTTATTTGTTTTCTAACAAATTGTGCTGAAAACCATATTAAGTACCATAAAAATTACGTAATAAACAAAATACACACATATATAGTAACTTTGCTCATAATTAAGAATTGAAATACATATGTATTAATTGAAATACACACATACATATGTACATGTTAAGTAACTCAATATATTAAATTTATTCTTAAGCTATGTAAATATTATTCAAGAGCCAAAAATGAAGCAGTAAAAATGATTGTTTTATTTCAGTTTCCATTGCATTCATACATACATATTTGCGTAAACATACACTTGTAAATATGGATGTACATACATATATACATACCTAGTTAAATAACTGCATCCAATGCATGCATATGTGTATACATACATATATGCATGTTAACGGCCGTATTGTGTGTTGTAGCGCATATACATATATATACATACACATAATATATTCACAATTTTAACCTTTATATACATACATACATATAAATAAATTAACATTAGCATTGAAACGATAAAAATTGCAATATACTTTCTATTATTGAAAAAATATACAACAAAAAAAAAACGAAGGATTATATAGAATATAGAAACAAAAGATTGTCAAACAATGTGTATAATGAAGATTAAATAAATATTGAATAAATAAACGTGTTAAGGTGTCGAAAGAATTTACTGCAGTGTCTACAAATTTTCACGCTACAACGCAAAAGCCACAAAAACTACCTAAATTGACACTTTTCATGACAAGTACTTAAGTACTATATTAGTAACATATTTATTTCGTTTTACAGCAAAATGGTTGGCTAATAGTTTTATTGATTTTTTGCCCAAATTGGATGCGGCCACTTCGCCGCACTGAGGGCTCTTTTGTTTAAATACTTGCATATTTTTTGTTAACACTTTGTTTTCATCAATAATAAAGTACCTAAATGATAATGCTAATAGCAGTAATATAATTGGCATAATTATTGTTGTTTTTATTTTTTAGTTCATTGCTTAATGATGAAAAAAGCCACACTTCAGATGTGCCCGAAAATATTAAAAACACTGTCAGGTTTTGAATCAAACTTTGTACAAAAATTAAAAAAAAAAAAACAAGATATTTTTCGAACGTATCACATCACGATGTAACGAACAAATGTGGCACGTTCCAGAAAGCGCTACTTGGGATTTGCCGATTTTGACAATTCTCAAGTAAAAGTAAACAATGCTTTAGAAACTTTAGATGCACTGAAATTTGCTAATACTTTCACGAAAATCGCCGTTTTTTAACATTTTCGCTATTAATTATTTTTATAAATCATATATTTTGTCGAAAAATTTAATATTGAAAAAATTTAATATTTTATTTACAGTTTATTTTGTAATCCCATTCTGCCTGTTGTTAGTGATTAGTGTTGGACAATTGTTGCTCTTAAACTTAAGAAAATTATGTTGAGCAAAAATAAAACTACTCAAAAATGCG